ATATGCGATATATGACTTCGAACTGAACAGTGCCATTGTGGACCTCCCTTTCTGGAAGAGCAGTGCACGGTTCCCCGCTAAGCCCTTTAAGGCCTTTGTTATAAGTAAGCCTTTCAATGCCTCCTTGGGTTACCCTGGCGAAGGCCCTGCTTGCTGCTGCTTCGGGGTTTTCGGGGTTGGGTTTTGGGGCTTGTGTGGGGTCATGTTGTTAGCCGGCTGTGCTCTCGCCATGGCTCCTTCGCGGACTGAACAGAATGCTGCAGCTAGGGCTGACCGAAGCGCATCCGTTCCGTTGCAGTCTGGACGACCGGTTCAACAGATGACGAGGTCCAGGCGGGAAAAGTTGAGAGCCCTCTTTTCAGGCTGGCTCCTTGGTCAAGGCAGATCCTTTGATGGCGTGCTGTTGATGGCGAAGACTGACGTCGATACTGCAAACGAACTGCTTATCCTTTATGGGAAATGGTTGTACGAGTCTGGCAAGCCCTACTCCTTCTACTCCGAGACCATTAACATGTTCAGCTCTGAATGTCCTGCCATACGACGCTTGTTGCAGCCTGGCTTCGAGAGGAGCCTCCAGTGCATCATACGGCGATGCCCTGGCAGATCCTGGCAGCAATGCTTACAGTTTGTCTGGTGTATGGCTGGACGCAGGTTGCTGGCGTCCTGGCTTTGAGCTGGGGTGGTCTCGCAAGAGTTGGAGAAGTCATGGCAGCACTAAGGCGCGACCTTGTTCTTCCAGAAGACGTTGGGGAGCAGTTGCAGTACGCCCTCATGGCGGTGAAGGAGCCGAAGACTCGTTTCCGGACGGCCAGGCATCAGAGCTTGAAAGTGGACCAGCCTCAGCTCGTGGACGTGGTTAGGCTGGCTTTTTCGAACTTTGATCCGGATGCAAAATTGTGGGGCTGGTCCGGCTCTACTTTGAGGAGCCGTTTCAAAAAGCTGCTTGCGGCCCTAGGCCTTCAGTCTGGCATTCTGCCAGGTGTTCGTGACCTCGACTTGGGCTCGCTTCGCGCGGGCGGTGCAACGTGGTTGATGAACGTCACTGAAAACCCAGACTTTGTCAGGCGCAGAGGAAGATGGATAAACAATAAGGTGATGGACATCTATGTCCAGGAAGTTTCGGCCATCCTCTTCCTGCCTAGGCTGCCGGCGGCTCTGAAAGCCAAGATTTTCTCTCTGGCAAATGGGCTGAATGAGGCGATAGCTTTCGCCAAGAACTGCATGCAAATGAAGCTAGACAGTGGAACGTGGTTTTTCCTGGCGTGTCGAGGCGTTATGCCTTGAGTGGTGGGTACTATGCTTGGTTATATGGGTGAAGCTGCTGGATTGTGACAGCTGTCACGACTTTGCATGTGCACCTGTTGCGCAAGATGCAAAAAGGAGTTCGCTTGAGTCTCTGACAATAGAGATGAACGCGGCTCCGGCATCTCAAGCTTTTTGTCCCACCCTACCCGGCCCAGCGCCCTCGCTGCTGGATTGTGACAGCTGTCACGACTTTGCATGTGCACCTGTTGCGCAAGATGCAAAAAAGGAGTTCGCTTGAGTCTCTATATAGCCTTTTATAACCCCGTATAACCTTATATAACCCTACATAGCGCCAGAGAACCCCTACATAACCCCTAGTTGCTGTAGTGAGGCCCTAAACCCTAAACCCTTTAAACCCTTCAACCCGGAACCCTTAAGCCCTAAACCCTAAAAAAGGAACCCAAAACCCCAAAACCCTTCAACAGGTCCTGATGTCTGTGAAGCTCGCAGACCTCCTGGATTTGGAGGCATTTTTGACATGGATTCAGATCGCCGGGTTTTGGGATTTTGGGTTTGGGGTTTAAGGGTGTATGGGTTTAGTTGTTGAGGATTTTAGGTTTTGGGGTTTAGGGTGTACGGTTTAGGGTAGTTGAGTCATCCCTTAAAGGTATATATATATGTATATTCATATATATGTATATATATATACATATAGGTAAGTTAGGAGATATTATTTAGCATTAGGATTTAGGGTTTAGAGTCTAGGGCTGATATTAAAACCCCCCACCCTAAGATTAAACATTCCCAATGCATTGTAATATACCACATGGGAGTGTCTAATATTCGGGGGGTGTAGGGGGTGCAGGCGATTTTGATATTAGGGGCAGAGGATTACAACATCTGCAATTGGGGCACCCAAAGGCAGACCCTCCCCATGGTTTTCCCAACCGCCCTACCTTTCCCAGGTCAAGGCGCTCATGTCCCTAAATAGTAGTTTCCATTTTCTTTTCCATTATCCCTGTATAACCCTATATTACCCGGTTTTTCCTTACTTTTCCATTATCCCTGTATAACCATATATTACCCGTTTTTTTCCTTATATCACCCTGGCAGCTGCCGAACTTTCTCAGTGTGTTCAGGACGGGCAGGGTGTGGAGGTGGTCGCAAGCTTGGACGGACTTTTTGTGTAGATTATGTTGTTATTGTATTATTGATATATTGATATACTAGTTATCATTATTACTAGATTATGATTATATTATTGGGATTCTAGATGTTGCATGTTTGGCCACAGGTTGGCCCTTGAGGGCCAATCTCAAAATGAGGTCCTCTCATATGCTTACCCCAAACCGGTCATTGGGCAGCCTTCGGAATCATTAAACTATAGTAGCTTCCATTTTGTTTTCCATTATCCCTATTACAACCAACCCCCAATATAAAATCATTATAACCTCCCAAAACATGGGGTTTTCGGAAGCCTAATGAGGCTGCGGCATCAGTTCCAACAGCCGCTGCCTTGGAATCTGGAGGAATCAAGGCTTCCACTTTGCAGCCCTTGCCCAGGTTTAGGGATTTAGGGTTTAGGGTTGTAGGGATTTAGGGTTTAGGGTTGTAGGGATTTAGGGTTTAGGGTTGTAGGGATTTAGAGTTTCGGGTTTGGGGATTTAGGGTTTAGGGTTTAGGCGGGAACAGATTGCTGGTATCCCGTGTCTTGCACCCTGTATTTACTTTGGAGGGACTGTGCAAGGTGCCGAGTACGCTTCAGTCGCAGCGTTTGTAACTGACAGCAGATGGCAAAATGATCTGCAGCATAATAATCCAGGGTTTCGGAACCGAGGCGCCCAAATCTAGAAATTCCGCGGATAGCTTCAGAACTCTCCGCGGGGAACCTCTTGATTCTTGAATATTCCGAGGAGCAACAGACTTATTTAAGGTGGCAACGCTTTCACATTTGGGGTTTCTCAAACGAGTGTTTAGCTGTTCAACGACATTGGAAACACAGACGCTAAATGGGCCCTTCTTTGATACATTTTGATTTCTAAAGGCTCCTACGGCTGGGAATGCTGCCGCGGCACGTGGTCGGACAACCGCTGGTGCAACTGTCACCGCACCTCCGCGGCAGGCTGCGCAGTCACTGATGCGGATCTACTCTCCTGTAATGAAAGTAGCATGGAAGTGCATGCAGCCTCTCATATAGGCGTAGTCTTTTTGAATTCCATCTTAGTTTTGGGGAGGGCAGAATAGATCCCTTTTCATAATGAAGCCTCTTTTCCCTTGCTTGCATGTGTTCTGGATGTCTTGCAGCAAGGTTCAGTGTCAAAGGCAGGCTCAGGATTGAAACTGGGTGGGAGTGGAACTGGTAGTTTCCCAAAATTAGGGGGTCCCCCTTCTATACCTCAATCTATTATAATAATCCTTACCAGGAGGACCCCAAAATGGTACACCTAATTTTTAGGAAAACCCACCAGCTGCAACATCTCAGCCTTCTTACCTTGGCTTTGCAGCTTTGGGCGCGAAAAGCAATGTCACAGATGCCCCCCATGAATTCCATGACCCTCTATATTATACCCCAAATACCCACAAAAAAGGACCAAGAAACCCTAAACCCTTAACCATATTTAAGGGTATGGCGGTTTAGGGCTTGGTTTTGAAAGGGCCCCAGGCAGAAGCGAGCTGTGAAGACCAAACCTCCAAGCTGAGTGGCCCTCCAAGCTATGAAGCCAAACCCCCGTACTGGGGAGGTCCTTTGGGTTGTGCTCAGCATGAGGCGCCCCTTATATTGCGGCACCTAGTATCTAGGGGTACCAAGATGGGACACTAATTTTGGGAACTACCCCTGTGTCGCATCCTGAAGCACCCAAACCCCTGAAGCCCACTTCAAGACTCCCAGACCCTACCTGTTTTCTGCGCCCGTATCGTCCGCCAGGGTTTGCATGCAGTCTCTGTGGTAAGAGCCTTATGTTTGGACTCAACCTATAGTCCCCCTTAAGTAGATAGAATATGGGGTATAGAGGGATCTTATTACAACATACCCAAAGCCCTATTCTATCTACTTAAGCGGGACTAGACATGGAGCCAGGAATGCAGCTGGGGCTCATCAGCCGCACAGCACATCGGTGCTGGGCCAGAGAGCTTAAGGCCTGAGAGCGAGATTTTGTTGTTTCTATGACTGCCCTTCTAGATGGTAGTTTCCTCATATAAGGACCCAATATAGACCGCAGTATACCATATAATTCTTTCATGGAGATGCCCCGCAAAAGCCGCAGATAGGATTTCGTTGCAGATGATGATGAGTATCAGTCTTTTGATTCCTAAAGGTGTTCGTGCCAGCAATGTTTTGTGACATTGGTGATGCCCTGAAGCAAGTTTCCTCCGGAATGCATGCTCGGTGGATTTGGGTTCCATGGGCTGCAATGCGGGACCCCCAAAAACAATACATGTTTGGACTGTGGTGGCTACCTGCTCATGCCCAGGCTGTCTCAACCACAACTGGTATCACAGAGATCCTCACCATGGAGTGGTTTTTAGGAATCATCTTTTCTATCAGCGCACTTGCCCTTGAAGCAAGTCAAAGTACTCGTACCTCCGTCAAGCCAGGTTTGGCAAGTTCGACAGCTTTGGGAGGGGCGGAAGCGACCCTGGACGCCGAGGGCATGCAGCAAGTTTTTTTCTCAATCTTAGCACATTTCCTCATTACGGAGACCTTTAAGTAAGCATCGACGCAAGAGAAGATAGAAGAAACAAAATTGTTCGCTATCCGAGACTTTGCAGTTAGCAACTTAAGAGCGCTGTCGGTATTCCGCAGAAACGGACCCGGGCCTGTAGCTGCTGCAGGAACCTTTGACAAGCGCCAAAGCCCTCAGACCTACACAGCGTCGCTCTTTGACAGCCGACCACAGCAGGAGTGCTTAGTTGCCAATTGTTTTGTGCAACGCTGCATAGGCTGCAAATCCTTGATGCAGGGAGATCATTGCCTGCAAGTGGTTTCTTTTTGCAGGAAGCTCCACGAAGTAACACGCTGCGATATGCGCCAGCCTCTGTTGGCCAGAGAAAATTTGCAAGCACATTGAAGCTTTGCCGTCGGCATGTAAGCAACTTACATGTTAACATGACAGCTGCCATGAGACCCAACCTGCAATATCCCAACTTGGATCGAGGTGCACTCCGCGCGCGGTGTCCGTGAGCGAAATAGCTTGCCGAAGCTTGTCAAAAGTAGCGTCATGGGCTGCACCTCGCAATCGGCTCAATATACTATGTTTGTCCGCCTTTGATCCTACCAGGACGCGGGCAACTGTGAACTCGCTTAGCACGGAGAATCCCAAGGCAAGCTTTGACTTGACAAGTGGAAGTGTTGTGCTAGAGCTGTTGGGTCATCATGAGGCAGTGCACGCAGCTTTTGCATACTGCATTCAGATGTGAGAGTTTCCCAAAATTGGTGGTACCTTT